AACACAACCATATTCTCAAATTTTTTCTAAAAGTTTTTAAATTAAAATTTATCCTGGGATTGCGTAAAGAACTAAAATGCTTAATTTTCGTTGAAATTATCGATTTTTCGAAAGTTGTAAGTTCATGTTTTCAATGTCTTCCTACTACTGCAATATTCAAGATTCCACTGAAAGCTTCCACGAAGAAGTAGTTAATAAAGAGACTTGTGTTGTTTAGGCTAACATTTTTAAGAGCAAAGGAGCTGTTAGATTACGAAATAAAGTATCAAAGTTAACATAGATTAACGTACTTGAAACGCAATAGTTTGTTGACTCTTCAGAAAATGTGAAGTATTCTGATAACACAGTGGACCTAATGTCGATCGATACAAATGTTGGATTCCGAGAACGCAATGTGACTACACGACTTTAAAAAACATCAGAGGAACTAAATTGCATTGTACTATGAGACAACCAATGACACCAATCGCGAATAGCCGAAGACTTCACCCGGTTGTGCCTTCAGGGTATCCCTCATATCACTTCTCAATCCACTTGAGGTCTTTAATGTCAAATAAATTAAATTATGCTCAACTATTTATAATAACTAATAATGAATATGGAGTATGATTTAGTTCCGTCACTTTTTAGGATTATCTGCAGAAGTAAATATAGTTTTTTAAAATTATTTCCTCTTTCGCTCGGTCCACTTCCATTTAATTTCACTGAGCAATTTTAGCAAGGAATGAGAATAAAATATAAGGATAGTGGTATGAATGACTGAGAAAGTAGATGTACTTAAAACTTCGTGACCCCATTTTCTCACAAATACCAACAACATGTGAACAGGATTCGAACCTTGCCACTCTGGTGGGTAGATACGAGTCTCGCAGCTCATTGAGAACGTAAAATTGAAAATATATGTTCATGTTTTAGTATTACAGCCAACAGCCAAAATAGATCATATATATCGTAACGTTACCAAAATAAAATATTAATTATAAATATTACAAACTAATTATAATGTTTTACGTTTGAAGGAAGTGATTATTTTAATTGTAATTTAGCACTCACAGTCAATCTATTTGTGGTTAAAATAGTGTGCAGTCATGAATGCATAATTCAAAGGTCAATGCAGCCAAGTAAGGAATAATATTTAATAAAGAAAAAGTATTTTAATTAAATTATATTTTATTAAAAATATTTATTATTCTTTCTCTCCTTGATGCAATCACAAACATATCACTATTAAACAAACAACTCTCTAAAAGGTACTTTGCAATTCCTGGAATTTCTCTGCCTCTTTAAAAATGCAACCCATGAAGACGAGAAAACCAGCATCCAAAGTACAAAGAACGCAAACTACTTAATACTTTCTTCCGCGGTTCACGTTTACTTGAGTAAACACTCTTCGATCGCCAAAGTCCTTCAGTCCGTCGCCATCAGCATCGTGGTACAGCACTTTGAAGTCAGGATGATCTTTGTACCAGTCCTCGCTGGAACAGAGAGATTGTTTTTATGGCTCTCAAATACGTTTTAATAACGTTGAGTGAAATGTGCATCTCCGTTTGAGCGTCTTGAGAATACAGGAGGGGGACAAACCTTGCTTTTGAAAACGCGAGTACTTTCATGACTCAACGAGCTTATTGGTTTATGTCGGAAATGCTAGATAGCGTTCGAGGTTTGATTCTTCGTAAATCTTATGTTTTAAGCACGTTTAGTTGAGTGAAGGATGTGAATTATGTGCCATTAACCTTCACGGTAATAGTACTTCCAAAATGCTCCACAAAAAAATATACTGTGTAAGCTCAGTTCACATTCTGGGTAAAGGAGAGCTAAGTAATGTCTGTAATGTGTTCTCAGAAATAAGGTTATTAATGTGTTTTGCGGCTTCCTTACTATTGATAATAATGGGTTCTGCATGTTGGTTTCTTTTAAATAGGGTTATTTGTGAAACATTAACCTCGTTTCTAAAGAGGACTTTCATGTACCTAGCCTTCCCGAATATTTTGGAAGAAATGATGACGATAATTTTTCTTCAAATTCATTTCCTCTTAATCCTGAATAATATTTTCTTGTCGTTTTTAAAGGTAATTTTTCAATCTGACTATTTTTCAACTATTCACTGAATGAAACATAAGAACAATATACTTAATTGAAATAAGGAATTATGAGATATTAAAATAAGGTTTAAATAAGGAAATGTGAGATTTTAAATAACATACAGGTTGTAAGTTTAAAAGTTTCAACATTAACACTTCTCAAATAATTAATATTTCTCCCCAATTTTGAACAGATTCAAAAGAAATATATAAACAAAAATGTATACCAAATACTATATTATCCTCATGTTATTGTTTGATTCGAGAAATATTCTCATTCAGGAATAATGTAGGGCACGAAGGTGAAAAGTTGAATAGTCCCGTATCCAAATCTCTTCACAAAAATGTTAATTAATATAAGAAATTATGGTATTAAACAACATTTCGTCACATAGGCATTAGATATTTACCACTTCAGTGACTTGAACTAAACTTTGATAAAAAAATCAACTTCCTAAGTATCAATTTTTCTTTGATAATTAAGATTTAGTAAACCAATTTAGTTACGATATGGAAAAATGTATCGATTCACATAAAAAAGTGCATTAATGTAAAATGTGTGAACATAACCATAATTGTTTGCAGAAAGATTGACAATATTCAACATTTTAATGCTAATAACAGTGACTGCCTCACTCATGTATCTGAATGATCGGTGATAAGAAAGAATTATTAAAACATAAATCAATCTCATCCGTTCATCGGCAAGCAATTATCAAAAGTTCCGGCCAGCGTAATTCACACAATTCACACCTTCTTTTCATTCATTAATCAAACCTTTTAGTACGTCAATGTGTACATCGTGTTCCTCTGTGAAAACAAACTAAGTATTAAGCATTGTATTGAAACTTGACCTGATGGTATAGAAGAGAAAATATGCATTTCAACGCCCAAAAATTGTAAAAAAACTAGTAGTATTATGATTACAACAGTATATAGTGCCTCGCATTATTTGTAATGGTTACTCAATATGTACCACACTACATGAACCTGCAAAAGTTCATCAAATGTACATGAAAGCAAAAAACTAGGGTTACCATACTTCTATTATGGAAAAAGATGACATTTCATATAAAACAGAGGACACTCAAATAAAATGTTTTAATATAATAATTTGTTTTTCTTAAAGAGAAAATACTACTGACAAAATAAATACTTCAAACATTGACATCACTTTCACAATCACACATTAGACCTACGTCGTTATAATTTTTGTCTTTTCCACTTTTATACCAGACATATTTGGTGGATGATGAAATCTCCCTAAGAATTAAAACTTTGCTTTCAACAAAGGCTTTGAACTTTTAAGTATGTCATTAAACAATGTTTTTCTTTTTGGCACCCTACTCGAAATATAAATACCACGCGTAATACTAACTCCAATCGCTAGGAGAATAGTATTATCATCACAGAGTACAGAATCTATGACCAGCACTATCATTCAATACGTTGTACAATATGTTATATCTGATATCAGCACTGTCGCATTTTGGGGAGAAGAGGACGTAAATGTAGATATAGTTTATCTATGGATTCAGGCTGTTCATAGGAAATTATACAAAGAATATTATAATGCCGGGGTTTCGAAAACGTTGCAAAAATTCCAGTATTGATATTACATCATACGTCTAGATTGCATTCCAAAATAGAAGTTGCTCCTTTTCAATAAAAAGAGGGCATTTCGTCCTTTCTTGTAAAATCCACCCGGACGGTTGTTCTTACTTCAAAAAGAGAACATGGTCGGAAAAAAGAGGACGTATGGCAACCCTAGCAAAACCGAGCAAACATTTTCTCTCCACGCATGGATTCTTTCAGGTCCGAGATAAAACGCCAATCGCATTACCTCTATACCAGCAACGGCACAGCTATCTTCCCTACATGAACATTTGGATTTGAAATGTCAAAAAATCACATCTATTCATTTACATTAATTTAAGGTCTAGTTTTAAAGGAAATTTCAGGATATGGTTTTAAATATTCATTAAGAAAAAATATCTCTCGTCAATATTCTACTTAAGATATTTTATTTTTTTGGAATATTCGAAAAGACAGAAAGTTCGCCGAAAATGGTATCAGTAAGACCTTCTTTACCGTCTATTGCTATATCTGAGGAATTGGCTGGGCTAATGAAAATTTGTCTTTTTAGTCATTCATTTAATTTAATGTCCTAATAATGTTGCATGTTATTTTTATATCTATTTATTGTCGATAAATAGGCATTTTAGAACATGAACTAAACAACATGAATACATTTTCTTAATATAACTTCCGTGTCTTACTTGAACCATTTCTGGAGGCTGTTATATTAAGACATTTCATAATAACCTAATTAGTTAAAATTACACAAACGTTTTTTACCTTATATGTTTATTTAATGTTTTATGTTTATTACAGTCATTATTCGCGAAATAGCCACACTAAATATCAAATGTGCATTGGAAATTGATTAATTGAAATGCCACTACAAGCCTCGTGGCTTCATCAAATACTTTCAATGCAGTCGTGTTCGTAATTATAAGATAAAACTTGCTCTTCGTTAAGATAATTTTATCTTAAAGTCTGACATGCACAATCGGATTCAAGGCTCCAGATCCAATTAATATATTAAGGTAACTTTACAGCATGCGGCCAGATATTTGTTATTTTTCCCCTCGTGCATCCACGAATAATTTAATTGCAATAGAAGTTATAAAAATTAATACAAATGTTCCAACTGTTTAAAACGAAATTATGGTGAATATTTGTGTTTCTCATTAGTTGTAGGTTTTCTTGATTTCCGTTTTTGGTGACTTCTGTATTTGCTGAACAGACATTCATAAAATACATTTTTAGTGGCAATCCTATCACATAGCCAAGAAAAAAATATTACTTCTAAGGAATTAGGGAAAGGAAAGGAGTGAAGAAATTAAATAACCACTCTACCAAATCAATTTATTTCAAGCAACTCAATAAATGCAAACAATACACTCTATAATCATGACATTCTTAAATTACTTTAACGATTAAGGTACGCATAGGATAGCTCACTGGTAGACATTCGAGAAGTACACCTCCTCAACACAGATACATGAAATCAATATTGCCCAGAAGTGTCCCCTTGCAGATGCATTGTAAGAATCTCCACTGCGCCGCTGAGGCGTCAGGGCGGTCGCGAGTGAGCAACGATGGTGCGCGGACCCTCGAGACATTCGCCATCTCGAGGGCGGTGATTTCGCTGGCGAGGTGAAGCCACGAGCTGCTGCCAACCTTGCGGTGAACTCTGCGAGAGTTCGGGATCCACGCAGATGCACGCGCGTCCAATTTGGAGAAACCGTTTGTATTCATTCAGTGATGTTGTACGAGCCAATGTAAAACTTTCTCTTGTTTGTCTGTTTAAGTGTGTGATGTATACAGGTTGAAAAATAGTGCAAATGACACATTTCAGTGCGTTTACTGAACGGAGAAAATACGATGAGCAGATGTTTCATTTGCCACATTTCAGTACTTCCCAAAAAAGGTACTATTATTTAATTATTTGGTTCGAATATTCAATTACATATTGTGACTATTATTTATGTTTGTTCAAATAAGTTGTAGTTATCTTAAATATATTATGTAAATATGTTCAAGCATTGTCAAATTGTCTGTTATATTTAATTTTTCGGAAAATGTACTTTGTCTTAACGTTTCTGAAATTGGGGAACTTTCAAACTGATATCCAAGATTATCACTCATATTTTTTTTCCTTTCAGAGAGATAACATTTTGTAACCAAGACACGTCGAGTGTATTAGAAACATTGGGAATATATAATCAATAGTCTCATTATATCCGTAGATGTATGCATCAAAACTGTCTGTGTAATTGGACTGTGTAACAAAAAGTAAGAGAACCATCATTTATGACGAAAACGGGCAACGAGGATGGAGGAACTGAGGGCGCACTGAATCAATGCGAGCGGTCTGGCGTGCGTGCGTGCGTGGTGGCTCGCGCGGGGGAGGGGGGGGGCGATGGACGGAGTGAGCTGGCGGGCGGCGCTGGGCGGCGGGCGCCGCGGGCGGCGGGCGCAGGGGCGGGGCCTGCGCCTCAGTCTACTTCCTCTGCTTCTTGGGCTTGCCGCCCTTGGCCCCGACTTCCGGGCTGTCCTTGTACCAGTCTTCGCTGTAACATACAACCATGTCGCTGCAATACGCCCTTCCGAATGAGGCTGGGCGTTAGCAAATGGTAGCCTATAGGCGCGTGTTGCGCGTTGTTTGTGATTGATTAATAAATTGGTGGTTTCTTGATTGTAGAGCCGTTTTGTGTTGGGTTTGCGAACAATTAAAGGAGTTTCAGGTATCAAAAAACTGAAGAAGAATTCAAATTGACCTAAAATGTAGTAAGTAAAAATATAGAGGTATTAAATACCATGTACTATAAATAATATTTATTGACAAATTTCCGTTTTTTATTAATACATTTTTCTCGCGCCGTCAATTTACTTAATTTTTTAGAGGTCGTGTTTGGTACCACATTATTAATAATTATTGACATGTCAATTTTAACATATTTAGCTTTTATTAACTAATATAACACTGTTTATTTTAATGATAGATAGAAATTATTGTACTATTTATCAACTTTTGTTTTCATTGACTTTTTGTAGCATAATGTTACCCGTCAGGAAAACAGTTCAATGTAGCCTTCTATCTCCACAACTAATTTCTTTTCTTAAACTGCAGACAGAGATCTCATTGAAAGTTACTGAACATTGCAAAAGAGTAGAATCATAGTATTTTATTTCACAGCTATTATAATAATCTGAAGATGGGTGTTCTTCCTTTGAGGTTACTAAGGAGTGTAGTTCCACAATTAATTTATAATAACTTGAATATTAAATAATGAATAAATTGCAATCGGCGTTCGATTGCCTAGCGACTGCAGATTCGAATTCATCCAGACTAACATTTGGGCTTCAAACGTGAGTTCTCATCCAATCAGTTGATGTGCACGGCCGCATAGCGCGCGTTCGCTTTAATCGTTGGTGGAAATAGCGGAAGCCGTCGTCCTCACGAGTGATTAGGCTGCGCACCATTGGTGAGTGCGTGCGTGCGTGCGTGCGTGCCCGAACAAAGCGCGTCACACGCGACTTGCACGCGGGCACAAAGGGTCGTCCGGCCGGGCGACTCGCCGGGCGCCATTGTTTGCAACAAATTGAATAGCATTCGACGTTATTGCGGTTTGAATTGAACGTGCGGTTAACGCGTATCTGATAACTCATTCGGTAACCCTCTGGAGGAATAGTGAGGCTTAAAATGGTCACAACCATTTGGCTACATTGATTGAATATGAGGTTTTGAATTGAAAGGGCAATAATGTCCGATGTGGTTCTAGAGGCGGACAAGTTGGTTAAAAGAAGTAGCGCGTCAATATACAAGAACAATGTGGGTTTGTGGCTTCCATGGAGCAAGTGTAGAAGGTCTCAAACCGTGATCAATGAATGGAAAATAATCAAAGAAGATAACCTTGAATTTCAATAGTTAATTGTTTACAAATGGTATCTGAAGATAGAGTAACAATATAACTCATGGCTCTTATAATCAAAAACAAAAAGATAATAAAATCAATACGGAATTAAATTGTACCGTATGTACAGAGCATTTGCAGTTAATTTTGTTTTTTAAGTACAAAATTGTAAATTATCCGCGGTAGCATGGATTTCTTCATTTTTTGCCCAAATGTGGATAATTATTTTTATGAATAATTAATGTGTAGGATGCTATTCCACTATCACCTGGACGTGATCAAAGAAGCCACAGAAATCAGTGATTGGAGCAGTTGGCCTACGAATTCAATTGCACAAACACATCAAGTAAAGTTCTGAAACCTTTCTGAATTAACTCGCAACCACCCATTGAACGGCAAGTTCGACACGTCTTTACACTCACCGCCAAGTATGTTGGTACATGAAATACGAATTAAACAACTTACTAGTTCGCATTCTACTTAATTCTAATTAGACCCCGTGCGTCAGATGAAACGGCAATGCGCCCAGAGGCGCGCAGACGGACTCCTGCTCCCGATTGTGCGTGCAGTGACGAGGTGTGGGGCGGGGAGGAGGGGGCGGGGAGCAGCAAGTGGAACGAGGCAACAAAGGCTGCGCTCTCCCAGGGCGCGCCACTGGGAGGGCGGAGGTCCATCGCACGCTCCACGGCGCCGGGGGCGGCGCGGCGCGGCGCGTGACGGGGTGGGAACCCTGTGTTACAGACACTCCGAATACACAGGAAGATGGATGGCTTCCCACGCGCATTCTGCTGGGAAAATGGGGAACTATTGTTTGTGTGGAATGCAGAGCGAGGCGAAACGCGGGGGGAGGGGGGGCGAGTATGGAGGGCATTACGTTAATGTTGGCCTTTTCAACTGGCGTTTTGATTCTCAAGTCTCTTACAACCTCCTGCATCCCCGCGATTAGAAGTAAACTTAGTAACTTAGACAATGAGATAGAAACCTCAGGATTTGTGCATGTAATTGCCTTTAGTTTAAGGACATGCTGACAAAATATTTTTCGGAGAGGAGTCCCCATAACCAATAAAAAAACTAATCTGAACCCGGAACTCGCAGAATTGAGTGGTGCTGGAACGACCTCTACTGGACCAACTCGGTAGTTGTAGCGGTGCCCAATTTATAAAATTGGAATTTGGGGTTAGAGGGCAAGCGAAATAAGTGATTAGGGATAGCGAAATTTCAGAATAATAGCTAATCCAAGTATGCCTCTTATTTGGCGATACTCTTGATTTTGCATGGCGGGGAGAATCTTTCGGCAAGTGTACCCGATGGTATAAAAGAACCCTATTTTATTCATAGTCAACTGCATGTAGCTATTACCATATTAAAAAAGTGTTTATTAATGACAGTGTTTCTCAGAGCAATTTATTTTCCAATATGTACAATAAAGGAAATCTTGAAATGAAAAAACACCCACATTGCGTTTTGTAAATATTATGTTTTTTGTAATAACGCTCTATCAGAATTATTTCATCCCATCATTTTTGACAAGGTGATTATAATCTAATATATGTGTATCATGTCAATTAATTTAACAATTTTCATAATATTTCATGATATTTTGGCTTTATTGTGTACGTTCTTCAAAATCTACACGTGCATTATTTCTCAGTATATACGAATAGCTTAAATTATTAATTAAACATTTCGCAAAGCAAATGGTATTGCATTCTCAATTTATTTTAAATCATTGTCGTATCACTACCAGTTTGCTTCCAGGCAGAGTTCTTTGCTCAAGAAAGCATGTTGAACTCTTATGTCGGGTAAATTCACTGAATCATTACTAGAAGTAAATTCATTTTTATTTTAATTAATTGACATTAATTTGCAACTACCACGAAGGAAAACACCTATGGTTTTTGGAAATTTCCATCGTTTTTGGAGATCGCCTGTTTTTACTTTCAAGCATCTCATCTGTTTTCACACGAGAGCAATCATCTCTGTCATTGTTGATCCCATTTTAAGTCTCGCTCTCAATTGCTGAATAGTTATTTTATTAATTATTGAAAATTGTAAAATAAATTATAACTTGGCAATATTTATTGACTAATTAAAAAAACAAGAAAGGGCCTACTAAATAGAATTACATTCGATTGACACAAATGTAGCTCTCATACCTCCATTACTACGAAGACGTTACTATCAGCGGCGAACCCAAGATTTTGGCCTTGAGGAAGGAGGACTTCAGATATGGTAGCCAACCGACTTGGTGTTCTATTATAAAGACTATTTCATGTATTCTAAATATAAAATGTACTTTTATTTCTTGATTTATAGATAATATTTATAAAGTTAACTTACGATATTTTGAATTGCTTTAATTGGTATAGTAAAAGCTGCATTACTGAACATGCTTCCTTGGCTTCTGCGGGGAGAGAGGCATGAGTCCCCCGCTGGCTGCGCCATTAGTCAATATCATTCATTTTACAAAGAGACATTTATTTTCTCTCAGTACAAATAACTGACCTTACAAACCACAAGCTCTTATTGTGGAAGGTGCGGAAATAACACTTGAAGCCGTCCGACTAGTACTTGACTAATGTCACAGGAAGGTTCCAGTATTCGACCCGCAAGCGTGAAAGCTCTTGTTCAAACAGGACTTTCAGTTGGTTGGGTGTCCTCCTCATGCCAAAGAGAGTTCTTTTGCGTTTGCGGTTTCTCTTCTTTGAGGGGAATGTCCTCCAATGAAGCTGCAAGCGTTTTTCCTGACCATCCAGCGAAGGAGGCTGGGCACAATTCAGTCCCGGTGTCCTCCATTCACTATTTACGCCAACTTTCACTATTATTGAAAGGCTTTGCAGGTCGGGAAACAAAGACAAGATAAAATCTCTACTGGTTTTAGTATGCGACATGACACGAAATCTGTCGTGCTTAAAATGACCGTTCTGCCCAACTTAGTTGTCTTTATGGAAGTCCTTCATTTTTACATACAGAGCGAAAAATTACAGATCATGCATTTCCTGAATGACTGTAGTATTCTATCATAATGTTTAAAAATATATTAAATTATATTACTATTCAAATAAATAACAATATTATTAGATGTAATCACTTTCACCATTTATCGAATTATTTTGAATATCGAAAAATTTCCTCATCTCTCTTTCAAACTCATTTCATGATACTTTATAACAAGTTTAAGTACTATTCATTTTTAAGGAACTTGAATTGATTCACAATTTCTTTCATGCTGGTTGATGTACGTGCTGTTTAAGTTTTTTAAACACTGGAAGGATAAATTAGTTAGAAAAGAACCACCATTCGAATGAAATCATGTCATGCATCATCCTGAGTTTCGTTATCACCAGTGTATCAAACCCACCATGCAACAAAAACCTCACACAATTGTGATTAATTTACAGCTAAGTATTTGTTCTCAACAAATGGGGTGTTTCAATTTTCATTGTTATTTTTTAATATTTCCACAAAATTATCTTTAAACCATCAACTCTGGATTCTATTGACGCAATAATTTATGTAAACTAGTTATTCAAGACTGGTGGCAAAATCTCTGTAGCAATACTTCTGCGATAAGTGAACTGTAATACATGCGATGTTTATGTTGAGCTTGATATATACCCATACGTAAGTTGTAAAAGTATTGTATCAATTGATTCAGCAAACGAATTAGATTTTCTCAATAATTCCCCAATAGAATAATTATTTTTGGAGTTTAATCGTAAATTGTTATGTAGTAAAGTAGACTGCTCTGAAAATGTATTGATCTTATTTTTGTCTTACCCTCATATTATTGCGATAAATTCCAATCACGAACAAGAATGTTTATTATATGGCGATTGACGAGATGTGTATTTACAAATTTCTCTTATTTAGAAAAAACTGAATGATCTTGTAAACATCTGTTACCTGGGGTCGAGTTAAACGTAGTTATGAATATGGTTTAAAATGTACGGTATTTAATAGAGAGGATACATACAATTTGCTTTTCAGCAAGTTTGAGGAATTCTCTGAAGCTTAAAATGGACGTTCAATAAATTTTGTGTTTTAGAACCTGTGAAACACGTGAAGCAGTTGCTCTGACTTTTGAAAAACAACTTAATTTTCACCTAACTTTCAAAAGTAGAAATAAATTTATTTAGTCAATATTATGAGTTAAATTGCAGCTGAAATATAATCATTAAAGATATTCAACAAGAACATCAAATTATCCAAACTCTTTCTAAATGAATATCTTCCCCTAAATATTGTAAAGAAACTGATGAGGGAAATAAGAGGAAGGGAAAGTGAGTTAGTGAGAACAACAGACAGACAATATCGTGGATAGTGTGGTCCTACTATATTCTACATTATATGTGCCTGAAATAATTATTCCTGTATTATTTATGCAATGTGACAATACTCTTAAGACCAGCAGATAATGCAAATTGCAGGAATTTCACGATTATAAGCATTATTCCGACGGAAATGTTTGAAGAATATACTCAAGTTTTCCGAAATTTTCATAACAAAAACTAAGGGGAGAGGAATCTACATTCGAGAAAAATTGTAAATCTAGACCAGGAGAGTGCCAGTACTTTTAAGTACCAGTTACCTTTCAGATTTTTTAAGAACACAAGATTAATGTCAAAAACAAAAATAATGCCCATTACTTGATTAAAAATACCAATGAAAAGTTGAATGAATAAGAACTAGTGTAAAATCGTCCAATATAAATGAGTTCAGGAGCAAATCTAAAATATATTATTGTTGGGATTGGGGGGGGGGAAGGGTTAGGGGGACCTTTCCCCCATGAATTCCTTTCAGAGAATTAATACATTTTTTAGAATATGAATTTCTTCTCCCCTTGTTACATAGTGTTTGACCAGTTTTGAGTTTTTGTTTGTTCAATAAATGAAATAAATATATGCCGCCCCCCTTGGCGTTATGTGAATACTGCCTTGGAATGTAAGCGATTGGAGTGGGGCGATTCCTGTGTTGAATGTCTTGAACAAAGCGAGTGAAATAAAAAAGTAAATGTTAGGTTTGGGAAGGGGGGCCGTCTGCTTACCATCCCGCCACATTCTCAGGCGCGTCGCACTTCTGGTCCTCCTCGTTGTACACCTCGCCCAGCGAGCAGCCCAGCTCGCGGGGCTCCACGCCGTTGAGGCACACGTAGAACTTCTGGCAGTCCTCCGGGTGCGCGAACTTCGGGTGCGCCACCGCCTGGCCGTTGCCGTCCGCCTGCGCGTCCTTGGGGCACTCGAAGCCATCCTTGAGCTTCTCTGCAACAGCGCGCACGGGGGCGGGTGAGGGCGGACCGAGGGAGAGCGTGCCGGAAGTTCCTACACGCTTCCGACGTGGGGCGGTTACAAGAGAGCGGAAGACTCTTCAGCAGTTCCCGTGCTGTTTACTTTCAACGCTTTTACTACTTCGCTCGTGTGATACGTGGAGTCATGTGACACGTAGCCGTCTATTAAAAGAATGTTTTTCTTATGAATTTGAAGCAATTTTGCATAAAGTATTAACAACTGTTCGTCATGTAAATTTTATATTTGAAGTCAATTTATTGGCATGACTATGTTTTTTCAATAAACGCTTCTTTGAAAAATCAATCATAATGTGGTTTTCTAAAATATTGGCATACTATAGGATTACGAACAAATACACGAAGTTCAACAATAGTAAATCTAAATTACTGTGATTCTTAGATGAAAGAAACACTATTGAAATGAGTTGGATTTAATTATTATTAAAACAATACAGGGTAAGAGAATACAACGAATGTCCTTCTACATAATAATGTATCCACAGAAGAGGTAAATTAAATGGAGATATCACAACCTAACCACCGGTCGTTTTAACATCAGTTTTTCAGTGACGTTTAATTTTGAATTAATACAAACAAATAAGGGAAATCGATAGGCACACAATTTTCGCGAGATTTGAAGATGGTTCTTTTATGTGTTTTTTGTTGTCTTCCAAAAAAAAAAAAAATATGGTCCTACATGAATGATTCCAAATTTTCATTATAAATGAAGATGTTTGGTTCAATGGTAGTCGAAAACGTAGTGGGATAGTATATCTCAATTTCGTAAAACTTTCAAGTATATCTTACAAAGCTAGCAAATTCTATAGCCTACATAAAAGCTCCTACTAAAATCTACTAGAATCTTATGAAATCTTATAGAATCTTTTGAGACTACAAAATTCTTGTTTCGTTTCTTATTTACCGTTATGAAACTAAAATTTGATTTTATTATGTTGAACCATTTATTAACTTTGGTTCTTCATTGTATATTTGTTTCTACGTCTCTTATAAAAAGGGGTCACCAGGTTTCTTGTAAAACGAAAGTAAAATAGTTTCCTCATTATGGGCGTGAGAGGGCACTTATGTCAGTGGCGCTGCAACCCGGCGCGCGGCTCGTGTCTGGCCACACGCAGATGCCCTGGTACTCGTCGAAGTGCAGGCCCGGCGTGCACGCGGTCTCGATGTATCGCCCTCGATGCAGTTGTAGAACTTGTTGCACACGCTGGGGTCCGGGTGCGCGAAAGCCGTTCTTGCGGGGCAGTGGGCGTTGCCTCTTGGGGGCTCTGCAACACGCGAGGGCGGGGGCGGGCGGCGTCAGCACGCGTGCGCGGCGCGGCGCGGCGCGGCGCGGCGCGGCGCGGCGCGGCGCGGCGCGCGCGGAGGAGAGGAAACGTGAACACGTGGCGCGTGCGGGAAGGCGGGCGGAGGTGGAGGTCGCACCAAAAATTGCGACCGCAGGGATGGGTGAAGTTCAGCTGTATTTGGCCCACTGTGCGATAGTGAACGTTTGAAAAAGGATGATCCTCGTCATTCAGAGCGTCGTTTCGAATAATGGTTTGTTTTTAGGGCAAGTGATGACGGTGACTTCCCACTTTTGAAGTGCAGAGATGAATAATTTACAGGAGAGGAAAGGCACTTGTCTCCTCACATATTTCCCGTATTAATATTTTTCGTGAATTGTGCTAATAAATTCGTTTGCAAAATGATGACAAATGACGCGTGTTTTTGTTTGAGTGTGTCAGTGTGCATACGTGTATGTCTGAACGTATGTATGTATGAATGTATGTATGTGTGTATGTGTGCGTGTGTGTATGTCTGCGTGCATGTGTTCCAGTATTTCATTCAAGAACGAGGCATTATAAACACGCACATAACTTCCATGTACATAACTTTGTTAAATGAAGTATTCCACAGTTTCATTGTGCTATAATATTTTAACCCCCCCTAAATGCCTTAAAAATCAAACATTTAATATCATCCTCCTGAATAATGAACATAATGTTCTCTTTCTCTCTGTATTCAGTATAACAGATTTATTCGTTTCTTTGTTTGACAAAAGCGTAGGTAATTTTGATTTTTGTCGCTCCTTCGAAAGGAATGTCGTTTTTCACCTTCAACTGCAGAATTCACAAAAATTATGAATTATTCAAAGCACGCCTCTCTAGATGCATGTCCCCTGAAAGAGACAAAAAAAGGACTTCTCGTGACTTCAAGTCGTTGAGGAGTTCGAAGACATCCTGACAATAGAATTAAATACTTCTTGTCAACGTAGATAGTGAAATTATTCGGGAGCAGGACAAGTCGAAATGACGACCACAATGATAAATAACGGTCGCTATTATTTACGGAGTCGTACAGGTTCTGCAAACACGCTGTGGCAATTTCTTATTCCGGGAAGAGCCAAGAATGAAGGTGGCCTTGGCAGGCAATGGCGGCGCTTACAATCATGATTCACTACTCACGAGTGTTTCAAAGAATAAACTATGACATAATTCCAAAAACGGTCAAATTTTAAGACTATTATTATTAGAATTTTTAAGAAGTCGGGAATAAATTACTAACGTTAAGAGTCGTTAGAAAAAATATTACCATAATATGACAAATGGGAACTTAAAACACGCTATTTTAATATACTCACCAATCTATACGTATTCATAATGAATCATACCAACGTAAATTTATGATCGTTATTTGTTATTTTTTCAAGTTATTGTTATGTGAATTTTAGATGCAAGAAGGAAGGTACCTACGATCGAAAGGAAAATATTGAATGTGTAATGTTACAAATAATGACTTTATCTCAAAAACAAATTTTGGAAAATTTCCAGAACTTGGAATCGTATAGAATTCAATTCACCTTAAAGGAATTAATAACGAGTCAATGATTCACTGAGTTAAGACTTATTTTAGCAATGTATTGCAAATTAATTTAATCTAATTCAATCAATTCTTAAATGAAATTGTTTGAAAATCTCCTATAACCCTCTTAGGTGCAAAAAATGGAAAGAATAATGTAACAAGAATCATGCTTTTGTAAATCATGTGATTCAAAAATCATTCATAAATTCTTCACAAAAAATATTACTGTCATCTGCAATTTAAAAATTATTAGGTCCTAAAATCCTGAATTAAAATTGATTTTCTTCAATTGGAATGGACAATTTGGGGCAAAATATACTTACGCAGTTCAATACGGTCTCCGCAGTCTACGTTGAAGGGTTGGTCGCACTTGTTCTGCTTCCGGATGGTGGGATCGAACACTAGACCGTCTGGACAGAGCTTCTCCGTTGGTACTCCACCATCACAATCATAGAACTTATCACACTGCTTTGGATCTTCGTATTGCCCATCTTTAGCTGGGCACTGGAATGCACCCTCTGCGAAAAAAATTGAAAATGTTATTACCACAATGCCTAGTCAGAAACAATGAAAATTACAGTAAATTGTAAGGAATTGTAAAACATATTTAATACGTATTTTGTATTGATCTACATTGCATTCAAGTAGAATTATTGCAATGCTTGACTTCCCTTGGTTATTATATTAAAATTCAGGAGAAAGTTTACCTTTAATACCTTTTTTGTTGTATCTCTATGGATTCTCTTACTTTAAAAACTATTTCTAAATGAGAGAGTATTTTAGACCTTCTAAAAGAATGTGTTATAATAATATAGTTGTAATGACATTTAATGACAAATGTCTATCATTTATTTTTTTCAAAAAAGTATGTTATGAGTATTTTGTAGGATCATTTCGTAAAATATAGATATTGAAGGTAAATCCTTGCAAGTTACACCAACTGATGCTCTGAGATTCATTATTTTAGCTTAAATCCGAATTCAATTGGTTCTCCCCCTCCTCTCAGGGCTGCATGTCCAACCGTCAGCCGACCCCCGCCGCCTAAGGTCCCCCGTTCGAGCCCCGAGGCCGACGCCTGAACGAGGCCGCGTGTTGCAGCCATCACCGCCATTCCAACGCCCTTGCGGCGCGGCGCGGCTCGACGGTGGCATGTGGCTGGCAAAGTGGCCTC